GTCCGTGTGAAGACTGGGTCAGAGGAAGAGGCGTGGAAGATCAGAAGAGAAGGCGAGAATGGTCAGGGCCTGCTTCCCTGGGCTGAGCCTTAGGAGATGAGGGGGCCTCAGACAGGTACAGAGATGGGGAAAGGGTCCCTCGCAAGAGACCACGGGACCTGGGTGATGACAAGGGAAGAAAACGCTGTTCTGGTGCCTCTTCTAATTCTCCTTCATTTCCTTTAAGCTGAGAAACAAGATATGCAAGTTTGTTATGGATTCTACTTAAACGGCACCCGTCTGTGTGTGAGGGCCTGAATGAGAGCACAGAGGTGCCGTCGGCCTCCTTAGGGGTCAGGCAGTGCTCGCGTTTTGTCTTTTAGAGTTGAAGGTGAAAGTCTGAGATTGCGGCTGATGCCAATCACAGCTGCACCCTTGGTTCAGTGAGATCCGCGAACAGGTTTCGAGAGTCCTCTGCATCGCAGGCAGCGTGCTTAGTTCTGCCACTAGAAAGATGAACAAGACAACAAGACGTGGCCTGTGTGTCTTGCACTCCATAAAATGCTACCGAATGAAGTTCAACTATAATATCAATAATACACAGAAGGCTTTGGGTCAAGATAAAAATTGAAAAATTCTTACTGGACAAAATTGAATAGATACCACATTGATATTTCTTAAAGTGCGATCTTCCTGGACTAGAGACATAGGAATCATCGTGTACTGCCTGTTAAAATACAGGATTTTTGCACCCAATATAGTTTACAGAATCAAACACTCTAAGGGCTAGGACCTGAGAATCAACATTTTTTAATTCCCCGGAGATTCTAATGTTTACTAAAAATACCACTGTATTAAGACAGAAGTAAATCTGGATATTAGAGAATTAAAACCCTAGCTTGTATTCGTTTGCCCTTTTTTAGAAAAATGAATAAATATTAAATGTGACTAGAACAAAAATCTCTGTGCATCCATTTTCAAGATTAGGATCCTGACTAGCCAATACGCAGGGATCTCCAAGATTAAATTTCTTTCCACTCCCCCCACCCTTGCCCACACATACACAGCGTGCGCTCCTGTTTGCCAGCGCTAAGCAGAGCCTTCGTATGTGATTATTTATGTTGTCAAGCACATCATATAAAATCTAAGGCATAAATTGTTCTATGTGTGGCTTTTGAGTATGTGCAGTTTTGAGTATGTGCATTTTCAACTTTGATGTAAAATCAGAGTTGAGTTTGCTTCTAAATGGCATCAGTACATCCATACTTTGCAAAGAAATCTCTATCACCTTTGGTGAAGAGAAGAACCAATGGAATTTTGCTTTATTGTGAAGATTCTTTCCTTATTGTCTTTTACCTAAACCACATTTAAAAAAATTCTTTTTAAGTACAAAAGGTGAATCCATTTGACACAAGGAAGAGGTCGTTCAACTTTTATGTGAGACCAAGTTCCACCTTGCTGAGAGTTCCTTGTCCTATAATGCCCACACATGGGCCTGTGAAGGGAGAAAGCTAGAATTGGGTTTTAATGTGGATGAGTAAAGAGATTCAAATAAAGAAGAAATTAAGTCAAAACCTTTCATGTTTCTCCACTCTACTTCCTTCCTATAATATATGCTGCAGGTTAATTCCTAGGAGGTAGGGAAAAGATTGACCTTGTATTAAAGTTCAATCTTATGGAGAATAAGTAAAATTTGTTTGGCAACAATCCCAAAGCAATGTATGTGGAAAGAGAAGATGCCCCCCAAAAATGCACACACAGATGTCTGAGCCTCAGAGAGGCAAGGACTCATAGAACCTTGGAGCTCAGAAGGTGCAGAGAGAGAGAACCTGCATAGTACAGGGAAGACCATGCACCCCAGAGGTGGGAGGTGCTCCCCCAAACACACAGGGCAAGTCAGTGGCAGAACCAGTCTAGAAACTGCACCCTTGGCTTCTAGCCCCTTGCCTGCCTCAGTGCTGCCCATCCAAGCTTTGTAGGATTGCACCCACTACACAGTCCCAAGCAATCCTTTGTGTGCTATGCACAATGACCAACCCAGAAAATATCATCTCATCATTACCTCCACCTGCTCCCCGCCAAAAAAGCCCTGGAGGCTCTACCCTCATTGAGAAACAACTTCACTATACTTGGTCATTTGATAAGTATAAAAAACAGCCAGCCTCTAAGGATGGCAATACACATCCCCCTGGTCTAATTCTTGCAGCCAGCCATTCAACGCTCGAGGCCTGGCTTTGGGGCAGGAGGGTCCATATAGGTGTGTACGTGTGTGTGCACATGTGTGCATTCAAGGGAATGAGGGTCAGGGCAAAGCTAGTCATGTGTACCCAGAAGACAGCTTTGATCCACATCTCTCACAGCCCAGTAAAACAACTTATAGCCACTAAAGCCTTTGAGCACGGAAGCATCTTAACCACTAAAGCATGCGAAGCATTGTCATCTGACCCCACAGCCACCGGCCCCTTTTTGCAGAGAGCTGAATACCTTCTCAATGAGACCACTGCACATGCTCTGAGGGGGAGGTCCTCTCGTGCCTCACCTGCTGTCACTCTTTTGGGGGGCCCAGAACAGTCCCGGGGGCTCTAAATGGGCCCTACAGCCTCTTGAGAGCCCTTCCCAGATAAAAAAGGGGCAGATTTATGTTTCTTATCATCATCCTACAGGGAGAGACAAAAAGGGCCCAACAGCCTGTTAAAGCCTGCCTTGTAGATGGGGAGGAGGGTTGAGAAGAGAAACAAAAATATTAATGATACGCAGTACTTTCTTCAAGTATTTTATAACAGGTTAAAAATCAAGCTCATGCCAGACCCTCTGGTCCCACGCTTAAATTGGGAGAATGAAGCAGGTCAGTGCCTTTTGCTGCCTTTGATCACTGTTATTTCTGTGACGAATGTGCACCTGGAGCTGCTTTTCCTGGGGCCTGAGCCTCGCATGGGCAGCTGCTTGAGAGAGGGGCCTGGTCCCCTGTCATCAGTCAGTGAGGGCTGATAGCAAGGCCAGGGCTCAGCAAGGCCAGGTTGGACCCAGCCAACGCAGGTCCAAAGAGCTGCACCTGCGCTCACAAGCCAGCGTCTGCTCGTGCCTTCCCCTGGCACCCTTCTCCATGGGCCGCCTTGTCCTGGGGCACTTCCCTGGGAACCAACATTTTTTTTTCCCCTTAAAGGGAAGGAGGTGGGGGGACTTCAATGACAGTGCAGAAAATTGTCTCTCAGATCATAAAGATGGCCTCTGAAGCTCATTATTTTTATTTTCTTTCCCCTTGGTCCTTTACCACTGCATCCTTACCTGGGTCCCTTACTACCTTCCTGCATCCTCCCCACCCCTCTGTGTGCAGCACACACACACACACACACACACACACACATGCTAAGCATACGCTGGCATGCACGTACAGTTGGAAGCTCCGTGGGTCCATCTAGGCTCTAAGGAAGCTCAATTAAACTAAAAAGTAAAATCTATTAACTAAAACAATGCCTTCTCCCCATTTCCTATGTGTTTTGCTCTTGTTGATTCCCTGGAGCGCCCTCATGTGCCACTATGCTGTAATACCACCCAAGGCTTTGGAAGGATATAAGCATATGTTGAAACAGAGTCCCCACAATTCAAAATATCACTTTTCTCTTTCCACCTTTACTTCTTCAGTGGGTCTATGAAGCTGAGAAGGACCGTGTGAGGTCTTGAGACAGCATAAGGCCCTCACCTCTCCCCAAATGTGTGTCTAGCTGGCGAGTCTCCAGGTGCCTTGCAGAGTTAGGGGTCTGAATGCTTACCCCTCGCAGCCCTGAGCCCTGAACTGGACAGAGACTAAGTCAGAGGGGATCAGCCGTGTACTTCTCTGCCTCATTAGAGAAGTAGTCAGCAAAGACTGAGCTGACCTCCGGGCCAAGAGTCTTGTTAATTAATTAAAGCTAAAGAGTTAATATTCATGTAGTGTTTCTCAAAGTGAGGCTCAGGCTTTTTAACACAAGCATTTAATTCCATAAGCCAATAGGGTGACTTCCGACACTGTGGTGTCTTGGATGTTTCCAGGTCAGGAGGCCCCTGTGTAGACTGTCTTCTGCCTTGGGCACGGAGCACTGAAGAGTCATTCTTGTCCCCATCTTTGGCAAGGGGTGGGATGAAGCATGTGCCGGCTGTCCCTGAGCAGCCAGTCATTCAGAGAAGAGGGGGTAGGGAGGAGGAAGTTTTCCTTCCGGAAGGTTCTCAAGAAGACCCAAGGGATGTGATGATGATGATACCTAACTCTGTATGGCCTTAGATAATATTCTTAAGTGCTCTAATCCTCAGTTTCCTCATCTGTAGAATGACCCCAAATAATAATAATTCCTACCTCAAAATTGTTATGAGGATTAACAGAGATAAGGTATGCAAATCAATCACACTGTGTCTGGTACACACACCTGCTCTGTTCATAATAACTATGGTGATTTGATGTTTGGGAACCACACTTTTTAGTTTCCAGCTTGAAGGTCTTTGTAAGATCTCTCTCTTATTTTGTATTTTCCCATTTCTTCTCCATTTTTATTCCTATTTCCCTCCCCTTTCTTCCTTCCTAGGATTTTATATATATCCTTAGATTTTTTAGTATCTCTTAAAAATACAGAACTTTGTTTTGTGTGTATATTAAATTTTAATATCCTTAAATAGTAAAGTGCTATAAATCGTTTTCCACCTTTTGCACTCAACGCTGAGATTTTCAGAGGTATCCATATTCCTGTTTGCCAATGGTTCTCAACTTCACGATGTAACAGAATCACCTGGGGAGCTTTTGATAAAAGCCAATACCTTGACTTCCATTCCAGTTGTCCTGATTTAATTTGTCTAGGGTGGAGCCAAGCCTTGGGTCATTCTAAAGTGCAGCCAGGATTGAGAACTACTGCTCAATCCACTGCTGTATATAAATCTAGCTCACAGGCTGAGACTTCTCAGGCAGGAAAAGGACCAGGGGCCCACCTTTTCTTGGCCTCAGCAAGTCCCTGCAGCAAAATCAGGTCATGATGACCACTAAGGAAGAGAGGGCAACTTGCAGCCTAAGGGGTATGTAAGGAGGGGCGTAAATCAGAACTCCCATCCCACCCCATTTGTAAGAGTCACGGAGCAACATGTTATTGATTCATCTTTTGCCCATGTAATCATTCTGTATTTATTGAGCACCTCTATGTGCCAGACATTCTGCTAGATGCAGGGAATACAACAGGGAACACTCGGGCATAGTCTCAGCACTCAATAGCTTCCAAACATGTTAACATCCAGCTTCTCAGATCCCACTTTCAGATCTTCCAATTCGGTAGGTACAGGGCGTGGTTCGGGAGTCTGCATCTCGAACAACTGCAACAGGTGATACTTATGCCGATGGTCTGGGCAACCTTTGAGGAAAATAGGTCCAGCCAGTTTATGAGAATCAGATTGTTTTAAGCACGTTTCGTAAATTTACCCCATTTATCCCTTCTAAAATTTTCTGAGAAAGCAGAACACCATTTCTTATGTGTCTTTAGCAACAGTCATAGCCTTGGAACCCTTGTCCTCCTGCCAGACATTCCTGCACATGACACCAATTAATTTATTTGTTGTGCACCCACATTACACAGTTGCTATAGCAGCATGGTCACATTTAACACCTAAAAAATCTCCATGATGTAGGTCCTGCCCTTCATATGAGAAAATTGAGACTCATGTTGGTTAAGTGACTTTCCCAAGGTCATGCCTCCAGGATTTGACCCCGTACTCCTCTGCTTCAAAAACTGGGCTCCTCACCACCTTGTTTTAGGGGGCTCCCTAGAAGGCCAGGATAGTTGTCTCTTGGAATGCCCAACTGCACTCAGAAATGGCTATTCCAATCACAATCACTGAGCCACTATTAGCTGGATGGTACATTCTTTCCATATACAAAGTACACAGACACCCTCTCATCTGGTGTTAACTGGCACTAGCAGTTGGTTGGCTCATTGGAAAAACGTAGCTAAAGCTGGGAATCATTAAAAGGTGATGCATATATACAGTAAGCATTTTATGTTAACCTAAAACACATAAATGTACACTCATGAACCAGACTTTTGATGTAGAGCCAAAGCGTTTCCTTTGACTTTAAGTTCTCTGATTGGAGTTCCAGTATTCTTCCTAACATAAACTACACCCTTAATGTATATCCTAGGGTTTCTAGTTTTTATTTCCTTAGAGTAGAACATATTTGCACCTTCTAAAGAAGTCTAGGTGCAAAATTCCATTAAAATATGTTTCAGGCCGGGCGCTGTGGCTCACGCCTGTAATCCTAGCTCTTGGGAGGCCGAGGCGGGCGGATTGCTCAAGGTCAGGAGTTCAAAACCAGCCTGAGCAAGAGCGAGACCCCGTCTCTACTATAAATAGAAAGAAATCAATTGGCCAACTGATATATATATATAAAAAAAAAAATTAGCCGGGCATGGTGGCGCATGCCTGTAGTCCCAGCTACTCGGGAGGCTGAGGCAGAAGGATCACTCGAGCCCAGGAGTTTGAGGTTGCTGTGAGCTAGGCTGATGCCACGGCACTCACTCTAGCCTGGACAACAAAGCGAGACTCTGTCTCAAAAAAAAAAAAAAAATATGTTTCAAGAATACATTATTATTAATAAAATTTTAAATATACAGATAAGTTGATAGAATGATAAAATAAACACCAAAATACCTACTGCCTAAATTAAACAACTGTTAACATTTGTGATATTATTTCTCATGATATATTTAGATATGCATCTACATCCATTCATCTATCATCTAGCTATACATTTTTTGCTAAATATTTGAAAATGAGTTGCAGACATCATGACACTTTACCCCTAAATACATCAGCATATACCTCCTGAGAATGAGGACATGCCTCTATATCATTTTTCACAACATGAAAAATAATAACTTCATAATAGCATCCGATATCTAGCCTTCAAACTTCCCCAACTGTCACAAGATTGTCATTTACAGGCTGTTGTTTCTCAGCCAAGATTCAGTCTTGGTTCATGCATTGCATTTGATACTATATTTTTTGGCCTCCCTTTTTTATTTCCTTCTTGATAGTGACTTTTGGAAGAGTTCAGATTATTTTGTACAGTATCCAATATTCTGAAATTATCCGAGTGCTTTCACATAGTCTATGGTTTCTCTTTACCCTACATTCCCTGTAAACTGGATTAAGTTTAAAAGCTTGAATAGATTCAGGTTAAATATCTGGGGTAGAATTCTTCACTGGCAATGCTGTGTACTTCATGTAGCATCATATTTTCTATAGGTATATTTGGCAAACAGATGTGAACATTTATCTTGTGTACATACCTAGAAGCAAAATTGCTGGGTCATAGGATAGACAAATGTTCAGTTTTCCCAAATGGTTGTACCAATTTAACTCCTTCCAACAGTGAATGAGAGTTCCAGTGGCTCCATGTCTCATCAGCATTTGAAATTGTTATTCTAGTAAGTCTGTAATGATATCAGATTGTGGTTTCAATTTGCTTTCCTCTGATGGCCTTGAGCTTATCGTGTGCTTATTGCTTATTTAAATATAAAGTGCTTAATTCTTTTGCCCATTTTTAAATTGGCTTGTCTTTTTAAAAAAATTGATTTGTAAGATTGGACATAAGTCCATTTGTTGGTTTGAAATATTGAATATTGAAATTTGAAATATTGAAAACATCTCCCACTCTGTGGTTTATATTTTTACACCCTGAATGGAGTGCCCTTTGGTAAACATAAATTCCTAATTTTTTTTAAATTTCAGAATATGATGGGAGTACAAATGTTTTAGTTACATAAATTACTTTTGCATAGTTTGTGTCAAAGTTATAAGTCCATCACCCAGATAGTGTGCATTGTACCTGTTAGGTGTAAATTTACCCATCCCCTCACCCCCACCTGCTCCACCTGCTTGATTTCTGTTGACTTTTACTATCATATGTACACATAAGTATTGATCATTTAGTTCCAATTTCATAGTGAATACACATGGTGTTTGTGTTTGCATTCTTGCAATAGTTCACTTAGGAGGATGGTCTCCAGTTTCATCCAGGTTGTTACAAAAGGTTCACCATGGCTAAGTAATATTATAATATACCCAAATTTATCAACCAATTCCATTATGTTTAGTGGTTTTATATCCTGTTTCAGAAATCTCTGCTTCCCCAATGTCATGAAGATACATCACCTTCTGAAAACTGTTATTTTATTTTCTTTCACATTGAGATTCATAATCCACCTGAAATTTTTTTGGGGGGTATGGTGTGAAACCAGGGATCAATATCATTTTTTTTCCATTTGACTAGAACATTTTATTCACAATATCATCCTCTCTCCACCACTTTACTACATTCCTTTTGTCATAAATCAAGTGTTCATATACGTATGAGTCTCTATATGGACTTTATTTTGTTCCATTGGTTTGTCTATTTTTATGCCATGCTGTTTTATTAATAATTACTATAGCTATAAAACTCTTAATATACAGTAGTATATAATCCCTGAACTTGTTCTTACTCCTCAATATTGCCTTTGTCATTGGAGGGAGGGGTGGTATTTCTGTGTAAATTTTAGAATGCAGTTTGATAATTTCAAATAAAAGCTACTAGATTCTTAGTAAGATTGCATTGAATGTATATAGTTCAATTTGGGGAGAAGCTATGGTATCTCTATTTATTCAGGTATTATTTCATTTTTCTTGATAATGTTTTATAGTTTTGCTTAACTATTCATTCTAATATTTGTAGATTATTTTGGATTTTCTAGCCACACAATCATATCATATGTGAATAATAGTAATTGCTTTTTTCTGACTCGTATACATTTTATTCTTGTTCTTGCCTTATTGCAAATGCTAGGCCCTCCAATACAATGTTGAACAGTGGTGATACAATGGTGATATGCAGTGGTGATCTCTAGCATTTCTTCTTCAACCTCAATCTCAGGAAGAAACTTTTCAATATTTCACCATTAAGTATAGAGTTTTTTTTATGGGCTTTTAAGTAGATATTTACCAGATTAATGAAGTTGCTTCTATTTCTAGTTTGTGGTGAATCTTTTTTAAGTCCTGAATTGATATTAGTTTTATCAAATATTTTTCTATATCTACCAATATGATTATCTGATTTCTCTTTTCTATTAATGTGTTAAATGTTATTGGTGATTTTCTAATCTTAAATCAATTTTGCTTTGTTCGGAGAAAAAAAGAAACTTGGTCATGATGTATACCATTTTTGTATATCTTTTTAATATATATCTTGTTTAAAATATTATCAAGTATATTCATGAGAAAGATTAGATCCTTTGTTGTAATATCTTTTTGAGGTATCAAAGCTTGCTGGCCTAAGAAAAGTTGAGAAGCAGCCCTTCTACTTCCATTCTCTGAGAAAGTTTATTTAAGATTAGTGTTCTTTCTTTCTTAAATGTTTAGAAGACTTCATCAGTGAAACCATCTGGGTCTAAATTTTTCTTCATAGGAAGACTTAAGTTATTGATGTACTGTTTTTAATAAATATAGAATTATTTAGATGTTTATATCTTCTTGTGTTTTTCTAGGAAGTTATCCATTTTATCCCAGTTGACAAGTTTATTCACAAAAGATGGTTTATTTAATAATAACCTATTATTGTCCCTTTAATGTCTGTTCCCTTGTTTATACTGGTTATGTGTGTTTTGTCTTTCTTTTTCTCTTAATTCTTTTTTTCTGGGTGTTATCAATTTTATTAGTCTTTTTCAGGGAACAAATTTTGGTTTTGCTGATTATTTTCTTTTGGAAGTTCATTTTCTATTTTGCTAATTTCTGCTCTTATCTTTATTATTTCCTTCCTTCTACTTTCTTTGGATTTAATTTGCTGTCCTTTTGCTAACAGTTTGATAGCTATTTAACCATTGTTTTTGGCCTCCCTTCTTGTATAATATATATGTTTGAGGCTCTAACTTTCTTCTCTGCTTTTGCAGCCTCCCACTTTTTTTTTAGAGAGGGAGAAGGATGAGGATGAACCCTTTTCCTGGTGGAAATGTCCTCAGAGCTCTGCTTCCCAGGGCCTCACAGTCTCTGAGCCCCTCCTACAGAGTTTTCCACATCCTCTATGTTCTCTCCCTACACCCTAGGAGAGTCTTCATGTAAATCTGTTTCCCAGGATCAGCTGGCCCTGTCCTTTCCTGGGGTTAAGATTTTGCAAGTTAGAGAAGGAAGAAACATCAGGGAGTAAACGAGGGCCAGGTGGACATCCCATACATTATCATTCAATTTAAAATGTTTTTCATTTCCAATGTAATTTATTTTACATATTTCACCTATGGCTTATTTAGAAGTGTGCATAGGGCTTTTCTGGGTGCCTTTAAATTTCTATTTTAATTCCATTGTGGTCAGAGAACATTCTGTAGGTGATTTGAATTCTTCCAAATTTGTTAAGTAATGCTTTCTAGCTCAGCAAATGGTAAATGTTCTATGTACATTTTGGGGGGGGAAAAAAAAGCATGTTTGGTTTTGAGGTGCAATTCACTACAAATGGCAAGTTTGTTACTCATGGTCAAATATTCTATATATTACTGATTTTTTGTCTTCATGTTCTATCAATTGATACTGTTATTATATGCACTCAAAGTTAAGATTATTATATATTTCAAGTGGAATAAATCTTTTATTATTAAAAAATATCCCTCTGTGTCTCTAGTAATGCTTTTGCCTTAAAGTCTATTTTAGGTTAGTGTTTACATAGTATGTGCTTTTCCATCCTTCTACTTTCAAACTTTCTATATTCTTGAAATCAGTCTGACAATCTTTATGTTTTAATTAGAGAATCTATTCACATTTTATGTGATTATTGATATATCACTTGATTTCTATTTCTCACAAAAATATTCCTCTTTATCTTTTCTTGACTTCTGCAGTAATCGATTATGTGCTGGTTGTTGTATTTATTGATTATGGGTTAACGATTGCATTTTTCCTCTATTAACTTTTTAGTAATCCATTCTTTTCCTATTCTTTAATAATTACCCTGTTGATTATAATATGTATCTTTAACAAAGTGGAATACAGATTGGTGTCTTTACTACCCAGACTTTGCACAGGCTCAAAAACACTAATTCCATATACGTCCTTATTTTGTGTTATTGTTTTCATGCATTTTATTATAAAATATATCTCAAATTCCTTAAGACATTGCTTTTTTTTTTAATAGTAAACAACTTAATTTTTTCTACATAGTTACCATTTCTATTGCTCTTCATGGAGGCCTGAATCTACATGCTTCATTTTCCTTCCACCTAAAGAAAACAGCGCAGCCCTCCCCAACCTTTTTGGCAGCAGGGACTGGTTTCATGGAAGGCAGTTTTTCCACGGATGGTGGGGGTGGGAAAGTGAGGGGTTGGGGGGAGGCAGAGCTCAGGTGGTGACGCAAGCAATGGGCAGCAGCTGTAAATACAGGTGAAGCTTTGCTTGCTCACCTCCTGCCCTGTGCCCCTCCACGTTCTTAAGTTTCATGGAAGACTATTTTTCCACAGATGGTGGGGGATGCCCAGAGCTCTGCAGCCCAGTCCATAACCAGCTATGGACCAATAGAGACTGTATAAAGAAGCTGGCCTTCTACTCTCATCAGGAGGTAAAAATAATCCCATTCCCTCTTCACAGGGTGATATTAGAGGAGATCTAGAGGACAGTCAGGGCTTTAACCACTGCTCGGGGGTAATGAGCCCACCTTCACCCCCATCCAGACAGTGTCAGTAGCAGCAATGTAAGAAGTAGTAATGAGGCCCCCTTCCTCTCTCAGCTGGATGGTATCAACAGAGGCCTAGTGGAGAACTTGAACTTTCACCCCCACCCAGTAATAACAAGGAGCCCCTCTCCCTCTGGGTGTCAACATAGACTAAGTAGGGAACCTAAACATTCACCCACATCTGGCAGTAATGAAGCAACACCTCTCTTTATTTACCAGAGTAATGTCAGAGGATGCCTCTTAAAAGGTTTAAATAAGATATAGGGTCTTTAAATAAGATATAAGGTTATAATACCCAAAATGTCTGTGTTTTAATAAAAAGTCACTTATTACACCAAGAATCAGGAAGTGGGAGAAAAGACAATCAATAAATGGTAATATGAAATGAAACAGTTGTTAGAAATTTCTGACAGGGATTTTATTTTATTTTTATTTTTAAAAATTTTTTTTATTTCAGCATATTATGGGGGTACAAATGTTTAGGTTACGTATATTGCCCTTGCCCCACTCAAGTCAGAGCTTCAAATGTGTCCATCCCCCAGATGGTGTGTACCACACCCATTAAGTGTTTTTATACCCGTCCCTTCCTCTTCCCTCCTATCTGCCCAATACCCGATGAATATTATTACTATATGTGCACTTAAGTGCTGATCAGTTAATACCCATTTGATGGTGAGTACATGTGGTGCTTGTTTTTCCATTCTTGTGATACTTCACTTAGCAGAATGGGCTCTAGCTCTATCCAGG